GGATCCCGACCACTTTTCAGTCCCAAAATTTTCGGGATTAAGTTTTCCTAATCCCGAGATTTTCGGGATTGACATCATTTTAAAAAAAGTTGCAAAATAGACTGCATGAAGCGAAACGTTCAGTGCCAGTGCTTTTAACAGAATTGCTTGCCTATCATTTTAATATAAAATACAAGAAATTTTATTCCAAGCAAGCAGCAGAAATTAACCTAGCAGGCTTGCGATGCTTGCTTGTAATAAAACTTCTTGTATTTTCAACTAAAATGATAGGCAAGCAGTTCTCACTGGGTTACTTGGTAATATACTTCATTTTTGTACTTTTGAATTTTTGCGGGCGCCAATCGATTTTCTGGTACAGTCGAGAGCACTGTATATACATATATATACAGTAAGACCCTGCTTAAAGCGGGGGATATGTTCCTAGACAACTTAAATGAGGTCATTTTAATATAGAGTAAATAGGGAAAGGGGAACATGCAATCAAAAATAAACAAATTTTACTTTAATTTTAAGTTATTTTTATATTAATTTGCATAATAACATATGTTAAATAACACACAAACATATGCACACAGAAATATAAAATTCATTTTTTGTGATGAAGGTCCTGGCTTTTCTGAAATTCTTGAATTTTTTGCGATGAACTCGTCTAGTGATGATCATTTGTCGCTTTCTTTTTTCTTTCATTAAGTAAATGTCGATAGCAAGAGATTGTGTTCAAAATGCCTTGTTTTGCTTTTGCACTCCTTTCAAAATCTGATCATTCACTATAATTTGATCAACAATTTTTGTTTGTTACCAAACTTTTATTAAGGAAATCTGTAGAGAAATTCTTTGGGTTCTTTGTTTTCAGAATCACTATTTTCCAGTTGCATATGAATTTCTTGTTCTGCCAGTTCTTGAAGGTCATCATTGGTAAGGCTTTCATCAGAAACCTGCAGTGACTTCTTAGTATCCTGCTCATTTACATCTCCTAGTCCTGCTGTATCGATTAGGTTGACAATTTGGTCAACCTAACTATACAGCGATAGGCTCTTATCGTTGAGAATTCTTGGATACCTTCAGCCATAACTTCTTCCACACTTCATTCATGCACTTCATTAATACAAAAATTCCCGTCTATGCATTAATAGTTACATATTCTAGAACATATAAAAATCACAACTGTGTGTTAATATTAGCATTAAAAATGAAAATTTAAAAAATATTAACATTAAAAATGAAAAATCTGGCTTTATCAACCACTGGCTTTAAAGAGGTTCCTGGTTTATGATTTTTCTCACAGATATACTGGTGAGAGACAACAGATTTTGCAGAGATCTGATGTAGTACATTGGGTCGACCAAAAGGTCTCTTAAAAAACGGCTGGAAGAGCATAATTACAATATATGTAACAAAAAGCAGACCACCGCCCTAGCAATATATGTTTCTGAAACTGGTGTGGAAGCTAATCTACAACAGGCCAGCCTCATTAAATGCATATTTCACAAAGAGCAGATCAAAATTTTGGAGGCTCTAGAAATTTGTAAAGCCGAGCTAAAGGGGAATGCATATATTTTAAGTAGGCGGTGAACACCTTACATGCCTGGAAGACTTTTTTTGATGATCCCGACAACATTAATAACAAATAGAAATCAACTATGTCTGTTGGGGTTTGTTACAATATACATGCTAAATTTTTATGTTAATTTTTATTTTATTTTATGTTAAAGTTATTGTTACTTTTCATTTTTAATGTTAATATTAACACACAGTTGTGATTTTTATGTGTGCTAGAATATTTAACTATTAATGCATAGACGGAAATTTTTGTATTTGTTTGAATATTTAATTGTTCCAGTGATTTTAAAATTTAAAACTGTGGTCTTTAAGCATTCCAACTTTTTGTTTAGAATGTTTTGACCTGAAGCAGATCCCAATTAGGATTGAAAGCTGTTGTCAAAGTATATTAAAACTTTATTTGCTGGTTTAATATAAAGGTTTGTTGGTGTTATTTACTATATAACCAGCTGTGAGAAGATTTTGAAATTAGTGTATTCTGAAGTCACACTTCCAGCAATAACTTTTTATTATCACAAACATTTTCAGTCTCCTTCAGAGCTCTGCTTCAAAGTTGAATTGGGGCTCTGAAAGAGACCAAAAACATTTACAATGATATAAATTTATTGCTTGAAGTGTGAGAAAGGTATGATCTTATTAACTATCTTGTTTCAGCTTCTGTAAAGTGATAAATTCAGTTAGTTTCAGTTAATTGATTTTTGGATAATCAACACACTGCTATACCGAATTATCCAAATCTGTTGTGAATTCTATACTAGAATCCTTGTAGGTCAACATAAAATTACTTGTAATATTGTTCAAATTCTGAGTTATTTTTTATCTAAGATCATTATCTATTTTATATTAAAATATACCGTGTATAAATAGTATTATGTATTAAATAAATTAAATTATCTATTAAAATGTAGACCCACTTTAACCTTCCTACAGCATTGAATTGCTCTAAAACTCATTGATGTAAGATTGTTTAAAAACAACTTATTCTGGAGAAGATAGAAACTGCAAGTGAAAATGTCCAAAACTCGCAGAAAAAAAAAAACCTTTGTTTCCAACAAAACAGTTTAATTACAAAATATTCTCAGAAATGCTTGTAATTAAACTGTTCTGTTGTAATAACTGTTTTTACTATCCTGGCTGTTATATATAACAGAGGGAAAGTATGGCAATCGGTCAAAAAATGACCCAAGATTTTTACATTTTTGAACTCAGGACCTTGAAATGTCAAGAAATGCAAAAAAAATTCAGGGCTTTTTTCTGTGTGTATGGATGTAGTGTGTGGGGGGCACAATTTTGTTACCCTGTTTGAAGCTTAATAACTCCTGTGTTTTTTGTCAAATTTCCGAAATTTTGCAGGGACATTTGCATATTAGAGAATCGATGCTATTAAATTTTGATGGTTTAAGGTCGGGGGAAGATAGTGGGGGTCATGTATATCTCTGGTAGGATCAAACTTAATGACTATTTTACTTGTTATTAGCATTTACAGTTTTTTATAAAACTCGTCCCTATCCTGATAATTAAGCATTTTGCCATTTTATAATAGTTAAAAGTATAAAAAGATTTTTAATAAAATGTGATAACAGAGGGTGCCACCAAATTTTGCTGGGAAAGTTGTTTCTGGATTTTTGAGTTTCAGTCTGTTTGCTTCTGTTGTCTGAAGATAAGATTAATTTTCTTAAAAGTACTAGACAGTGTTTCTTATTTTTGTATTTTCTGTATTATAATTTAGGAATTTAACATATAAAGACAAGTTTTCTCCTCCTTTTCACTGATTGATTTTGATGCCATATTGTCTTAAATCTTTGTGATGCTTATGCTGTCATTTTATTTTAAATATATTGAATACGTCAAAATTTAAATATGGGCAAATTAAAATTTTTTATGAAGCTATTTTTATAATTGTGCAATTTTATATTATAAAATTTATTTTATTTTGTAATAATTTAATTAATCATTAATTATCCTGAAAGTATTTACAAAATTGCTTTTATAGATAACAGTTTTATATTAATAAAATATTTTTTTTTATATTTTATCGATTTTAGGAAGAAGAAGAAGAAATAAAATTAGAAATTAATGTCTTAAAAAAGGTATAACTATTATCAATTGTTTAAAATATTTTTTTTATTCCTTAATATTAAATTTGATAATTAATAACTACAATCTAATATGTTTTTAGCACTTAATAACATTTGTTTAAATTTAACCATTGGAAAAATTACATTTAATTCAGGATATTCTGGAAGAAAAGATAGGCCTGGAGTGGTATTTGAACTTGCAACTCCCAATTTTCAAAATTAATTAGTCTGGAAGCAAAGATTGGATAGAGGTTTGTTTAGTGGTAATGCATCTGTACCTTAATTAAGCAGGAGTTGCAAATTGAAGTTTCTCTAAGAGCTAATCTTTTCTTCCAGCCTATTCTAATTAACTTTTTTTATTGATTAAATTTAGAATAAGATTTAGTATCTTAAAAATTATTATTTGTGGAAGCAAAACATTGTTGCTTGTAACAGTGAGGTTGCGGCCAAAATTTTCACCACGAAAATGTGAATGTCTGACATTCACATTTTTGCATTGAAAACCTCAGTTGCATCCTCACAAATGATGCATTTAAAAATACTTTATTGATAGCAAATTTTCATTAATAAATAATGTAAGTTTTCAAATGTGTAGTATGCTTGGTAATTGTAAGTTATAAATATGATGATTGCTCTTGTTTTCCTTTTTGTTGTTCATAATAGAATGCAGTATATCTTGTATATTACAAAGGTTATGCATTTAAAAATTTGTTCTATCATAATGTATTAAATAACCTGACTGTTAATAATAATTTAAAGTCAATATTAAAAAATATGTAAAGTACATGCATGAATAAGAAAATATTTTACATTTCTTTCTCAAGTTGAAAGTCTTTTCTGGACTCAAATTTTACTTTTATAAGGCTGTGACACACTAGGTAATTTTTGTGGGAGACATGTCACCACGTGACAGGAAAATGTGTCTGCTGGACAGAGAGAGCAGTCATTTGGGAGTCAAATCGCTTTGAGTTTCAGCAGACAAAAAGTCTCAAAAATCAATGATGTAATCACTCTTGTTATCAACAACATTTTGCCATCTAGTGTGCAAATTTTCAATGCCAAATCGATAAAAATCAATTGGTTTTAGAGCAAAATACCCGGAGATGGCATTTTGGATATTATCCAAATTTTCAAATTTTTTGTCAGAAAGTGTTGTAGCAATCAAAATAAATGGAAATCCAATGGTGCAATGTTAGGTGAGTATGGTGGGTGAGGCAGTACCTCCCATCCCAATTCATTAATTTTTTTCAGGGTTCATTTTGTGCAGTGTGGTCTTGCATTATCATTTTGCAGAATAATGCCTTTTCTGTTGACAATCGTTGGACACTTTTCAATTAAAGATTGATTTTCTCAATGCAGTTGTTCACAGTAAAGGTCTGCATTCACAGTTTGCCCAGATTTCAGCACTTTAAAATGAACAATTCTGCAAATACTCCACCAAACACACAAAAGTGCTTTTTTTTTTTTGGGATGTAAACCTGGCTTAGCAGTACTTTGTGGCAATTCTTTCGGAGAGAGCCACTGCTTTTTGAGTTTTGGATTATCATAGAGGACCCATTTTTCATCTCCAGTGATCAAGCAATCAAAAATCACTTCTATATTGTGCCATTGAAGCAATATGTTGTATGTGGTGGATCGGTTAGCTTTGTTTTCTTCAGACAGATTATGTGGGACCAAACATCTGCTCTGCATACTTTACCAATCTGCTGCAAATTTTCTTGGTTGGTCGACCAAGGTTGTTTAATTAAGAGTATTTGACAGTTCCTTGATTGTCTGACATGGATTTTCTTCCACTTCCACCCTTAACACATCATTGTCTAAAGTTGTTGGTCTTCCTGATTGATATGAGTCAGAAAGATTAAAATTACCGGATTTGAACTTAGAAAATTACCTTTGGCATTTATGAACATCTAATTCACTTGGATAAACATCGCAAATGTGTTTGGTAGCAACTGTTGCATTACTACCCTTGTGAAACTCAAAAAGCATACAATGCTGCATATGTACATTTTCTGGTTTTTGGTTGGCCATTTCACCCAAAACTGCAAAAATAAATTTAAGATTTAATTATTTACAAGTAAACAAGCCACTTTAACTATAAAATGTCTTTAGCACAACTTTGAAGTACACAATGAACTGATAAACAAATATTGACATGCACAGAAACGACATTACTTTCCAGTCTCTCTAATATAAGATATTATCTGTTTTTCATATGATGGATGGATCACATTTCCAATCACACAATAGCCTGGAAAGGGTTAGCCCAAGGGCATTGCATTGTCTATCTGTAACTTCTCCAAACTTGAAGAAAAAGGTAAAGCATGCTAAATCTACCCATTCCAAAATGCCCTTATGGTGTTTCTACATTACATTTGAAAGAGGAAAAATCTCTCAAATGGCAAAAACAAGGCTTAGTATGTATGGATGGGAATAAAGACTCAAAATGTAAGATGGTAGTGAATTTCTTGTTTATCAAATCAATGTGTTGTAATCTTTCGATGAGACTTAGTGATTCTGATGTACTAAATCTGTACTGATATAACCTCCTGCTGATGTACTTCTACAGATTCCTTGCAATTTCACAAGAAGTTGCCCACTGGATGAAACATAAAAACAGGCATATCAGACTCAATTACTGGGCTAAACAAACAGCATAAAGTAAGAAATAAAATTTAATGCTTGTTCAGAATTTTTTTTTCATTGTTGTGTCATGTATCAATGGTTTGCATATGGCTTGCATACAATATGCTTAACATTACCATATTAAGATGGCAGCTCCTTGCATAATAATGTATTGCCAGTGGTCAGGCTATTGTGAATTTTTAGTGTGATTTTTACAATGGCCTAGTTACCTGTACTGAGTCTGCAAGTCATCAGTGATAAGAGTGATCTGCACACAGAAATTTATGGCTGTAATGAATCAAATTTATTTATGAATTATTACCATATTTTTACAGATTGACCGGCATGTCGCATATAACCAGGGAAGACCAGCATTAACATTTATTTAGCAACTAGTTTTGTTAGATCTGATTATTTTTTTAGTTGCAGTTCAACCAGCATGCTGGTAACTCTGGGGTTACTGGCATGCCAGTTAAACTGCATCTAAAAAATAAAATTAATCAGATCTAACAAAACTAGTTGTTAAATAAAAGTTAAAGGAAACATTCTTCCAGGCACAATAAAGTAATAACATTGTAATTTGACAGACTTACAACCAGGAAGAAAATTTTTGTTTACAAGTAGTAAAACAATTAGCAGCTTATTGATGTTACTGGTAGTAGTAATTCAGTATGGACTACACTGACAATATGCCCCAAAATTAATAGTTTTTTAGTACTACCCTTACCTTGAAAGTAATACCTACTTATCAAATTTTATGCAAAGCAGACAATAATCTTGTAAGTTGAGAGAATTTACCACAAATTTCTGAAATTTGATATGTTTATTTTTGCATTTTTGGATCAAATTACAATAAAATAAGCATAAAAAAGCCCTTTTGGCATTCCACAAGTATTTTGTGTCATTAGAAAGAAGACAAAATGCAGAAATTAAACATATAATCATAATTTTTTATGTAATGTTGATAGTTTCACAGTTTTAGAATAAAAACTGACATCTTTCAGATGCCATGCAATGTAACTTCTGTTTTTTCCTTTTATTTGCCGTCTGGAAAGGGATTTATAATCTTACCTAAATTAGCATGCTCTCATTTTTCTGGAATAAACTGGCATGCCAGTTTTTACCATGTGAAAATATCTGATTTCATATTTTCTCCTGGATAGACCAACATATTAGACAATCTGCAAAAATACAGTAGAAATTTTTATTTATTTTGTTTATCTACCTTGGAACTAATAATGATCTTTCAATTAATATCATCAAGTTGTATTTAAATTATTGAAAAATTTTAATTTCTAATTTCCAGTTTTCTCATCATCGTAACATCGCTACATACTATGGAGCTTTTATTCAAAAAAGTCCTCCAGGAAAAGATGATAAACTATGGGTACGTATGATTGTAATAAACTTTAACATAGATTTTGAGTTATTAAATTAAATTTTTTAAATATGAAGAAAATTATGAATTATCATAAATTTACAGCTTGTTATGGAATATTGTGGAGCTGGATCTATAACAGAATTAGTCAAATGTAAGTAAATGTGAACAGAAGTAAGTGGATATAAGTAAAATAAACATTTTAAAAAATTACTAAATTAATAAAATTTTAATTAAGTTAAACAATAATTTATATACAAGAGGAATGCTAGAAAGTAAGGTTTTATTCTCTTGAAAGTGAAGCCTGTAGCATACTGTTAATTGGTTTAGTACCTTACCTCTCTACCATGTGGAAGTGGTATCCATCTGCACAGATCATGTGTTCTTAATTAATTATGTTGGTTTAGCACTGGCAATTGTACTAAATATATGGAGCAAGAAAGAAGGGTCATCTCTTATATACTTATATAGTTTCAGTGGGCAAAAGATAGTCAATATATGGAAACCATGCAGTCTGTCATAATTTGTAACAGTCTTGTGATCTTTTTTAAATGATGGTAGAATGTGTGTGAAAGCATTGATATGAAGGGACATGTTAAAAGGAGATATAAGAAATATTTTTTAAAATTTTTAGAAAAAAAATAATTTTTATTGGTTGTATTTTTCAAGAGATTGAAGTGGGGCAACCTCAGTTTGTTTGTTTTAAGTTATGGCAATGCAACACTTGGAAAATCTGCCTAGGGGAATGCCTTCCAGGAGGTCTTTTTAAGGTTAACTATTCGGGCATTACAGACATGGAGAAAACCTGGAAAACTTCACATGGCCAGCCCGTCCTGGCGAGGCACAAACCCACAACTGAACTCCCAGTTTTTAGGGAATGGAATTGCTTGTTCACTGATGTGCTGGGCAACCTTATTCTCATTGTATACGTCACTAGTAAAGAATGCCCAGTGTTGCCTGGGAATTCAGAAAGATAGTTGAGTTGTCCTTATTATAAGATTATGTATGTTTCTTGCAGGGTGGCAAAGAGTTTATTATGCAAAATTTGGTGCAAATCAGTTAAAGGGTTTGGTGTCAAATTTCTGGGGAATGAAATTGCAAGAAAGAAGTAGGAGTCTGAGTTTTAAAATAGTACATATTTTTTGGCAGATTTTATAGTACTGTTCAAAATTTGTCCAGATCACTTAAAAGGCTTTGGAGTTTGGGGGTAGGGGATGAAATCAGAGAGTGAGGGATCAGAGTTTTATGGTAATCTGTTTTTCCTGTAGGGTATCGGAAAGATATTTGCAGCATCTAAGTTTGCATTTTGGTTTAGAATGGATGTATTTTGTTACAATTGTGACTTTCTTTTAGGCATTTTATTGCCAATAAGGCTTATCCACATATGTGTACACCTGAAAAGTAACTGAAAGAATTCAATTTATGTAGGTAGATATCTCATCATGTAAGACTAATTCTTATTTTCAAACATTGGTATGATAGGATTAATAATAAAACAACAAACACAAAAATACTGTAGGCCTACTTAAAAAAGTTTAATTTCATTTAAGGAAAGTAAATTTGCTCCTTATAGTTATTATCCAGTGCCAATCGGAGAGGTGGACAGGAGGGAAAGCTGCCCTGGGCCTCGCAACATTAGTGGCCTCAACTTGACAACTCAATATGTTAGACAAAAGTATAGGAGAAGGCAAAGCAATTTGCTAAATTTTAACATTTATAAAATTAAATTCTAAATTTCTGTAGGAGGAATCAGAAAGGATTGAGAGATATAAGCCAGTTCCTGATTGGATAGAAGTATATCACTCTGACCAACCCCAGGCTGGAGGGGATATTCTTCTGGTCAATCACTACACACACCCACACTCAAAAGTTACCCCTTCGTCCATCTCTGAATCCTACCCCAGCAAAAAAGGGTAGAGAAGCAGAGAATGAGGCCTGTTCAGTCAGTTCTGTGCTAACAGTGTTTTATGACACTAACAGTGCTAGAGTGAATCTACTCTATCCAAGTGCTTTCTTTTTATTCTCTACTTTTTATTAACTCTATCATCAAGGTTCGAGAGCCTTCTTTAAAAGCTCTCTATCCAAGTGCTTTCTTTTTATTCCCTACTTTTTATTAACTCTATTATAAAGGTTTGAGAGCCTTCTTTAAAAGCTCTCTAGTGGCAGTGTTATCTTTTCCAATAACTTGTTTTCTTTTAATCTTTCCCCCATAATTCCCATGACCATAACATTGGTGGCATTGGCTAGGGATATTCAATTTTAATCCTGTTCCTTTAATTTTTTCCCCTCACTCCTATGTGAGCAACATTGGTGGCAGCGGTGGGATTCCTCTACCCCCCTCCATCTCTTGTTTGGGTAACAGCAGAACGAAATTTAAAACTAATCATAAGACAAATAGGATGAGTAGAAAAAGTTCAATTTGAAGGGCTTCTAAAATATTAGTTGTTATATCTGATAACATATGAGTATTATTATAAGAAAGGAACAGTCAAGACAATGTAAAAAAGGCATATACACAATTACCCAAACTGCATGAATGAAAACTGAAACCAAAATCATAAGTTTACTAAAACCTACCAGGTGGCAAAGGAGATTGACTTTGGAGCTGACAAATGCTGTGTAAAAACATCATTCTCATGTACTTTTCTTTTTTATATGAAAATAGTATATAACTGTGTACACTCACTCAGCACTTGTATGTAAATCAAAAACACAACATCTTAATTTGCTGAGAAAAACTTTAATGAAAAGCTAATGTTTTCAGCCAGATCTGTTGGCCATCATCAGGCTAAGTTTTTCGAATACAAACAAAATAGAACAAAAATTTTAAATACAAAAAATAAAATAACGAATGAAAAAAATATATATATATGTATAAAGAAAAATAAAATAAAATAAAAACTCTTATTATAAAATATGTATATGAAAAATAAGCATAGGATAATTAAACATTAAAAACGTAACATAATAATACATTATGCTAAATTCGATGAAACGCAAGATATGCTAAAAAAACACTAAAAACAAGGCATTAAGATCTGTCCAATCACTTGATTAAGTATTTCCAGGCAGAAGGCAACCCTTCAGCATCCCTAGAATTAATGCATGCATCATGCAATCAGATTTGGCTGAAAACGTTAGCTTTTCATTAAAAGTTTTTCTCAGCAAATTAAGGTGTTGTGTTTTT